ATGGTGTATACTTATTGTTTAAAAAGATACATTTCTAATGGCTGTGCATTATTTGTTAAGATGAAAATTTTTCTGAGTAATAGATTCCTGAGAAAACAAAACTTAACAACTAAGTTGTCTTTAGGTATAGACATAACTATTGTTCTAAAGTTTGCATATTCAAATTTTCAGCGTAATTTAAAGAAAATAACTGTAAGGATTGTCATTTTATTTCTGTTACTTTATACATTGATACTCCAGAATTGCTAGCTAATGCATACACTGCTTACTCATAGAATGCATAATTCAAATGTTTAAAAATACTGCATTCTTGTTTTCTTCTTTCATTGACTATAAAAAGGACCTATAAAGAGGACCTTTGTTGTTGCTGTTGTTTTAACTGAATGATCTCTCAGCTCCTCTAACACTCATCTGCTCAAATAAGCATGAAATAGGCTTATAGAGGGCTTTTTCCCCAAAGGTCAGCAAAACATTACTAACTTGCTTAAGCCAAAGAAATAATCAAAAATGACATCACCAGAAGTCTGACATTATGCAAAACTAGAGGATCTGTTTTACTTATTAAAGAAAATGCAATTGGATACTCTGACATTATGTCTCCAAAGATAGTAAGATCAAAATAGTGTATTAAAAGAGCTGTACAAGTGATTTGAGATTGGGTATCTGGTAACGTGTAATGTTAACTTGTGTATTCATAGTTTATTTGCAGTCATATGTTCCGTCACTGGGTCTAGTTTTCTAAAAACGCATGTTGTGGAGAAATTTGAATCTTAAGAGAGTACGAAATATCCTAGTACATGACCACAGAGGAAGCTATGCTGATTCCAATAAGGGCAGGCCATCAGGGTATGAATATTACAAGTGAGAGGAAGTGGAGTGATGACTTGCATACCATTTCAATTACAGAAAAAGAGCAAATGGGTTAGTCTATCTACAGGCACGATCCTTTTAGGAAATTCCACTAAAAGAAAACAGGTCTTCCTGAAATGAGTGGGAAGGCGTCACACTCCAGGCATTGTAATTAGGTCTGTTTGTGTTCCCCAGGCCTTGGGATCCATGTGGTTTCATGTATTAAACCCGACTCTGGCTGCCCTTTCACCCTGACTCAAACATAATCACTCACAGAATGAGTCAGGCCAAGCTTCCTAAGTGTGCTCCACCCAACAGAAGTGGGATAAAGGGTACCCAGATAATTAGCACTTATTAAGTGCTTACTACATACCAAGAACTTGCTCAGTGCTTTTTATACATTATTATGTGGTCATTTTCCACAATAACTATAGGAGACAGGTAGTACCTCTGTTCATTTCATTACTGTAAGGGACAAAGTAAAGTGAAACCATGCCTCATTCTAAAGATAGTCTTTCTTCTAAATCATGTATCATCCCACTATTACTCCAAGACATAAACAATACTGGAAAACAGTCTCCATCAAATAAGAAAAATAAATTGGGCTAGTAATCCAACTGCTCTAATGAATTGTTAATATGGATAATAACTAGGTAGTAGTATTTTCATAATAAATGCTAAGATATCATGATAACAGCAGCATAAATTTATCTGTTACCTTACTATAAATATACACAGAACAATTTTATTTTATTTCCACATTCAGCTGAAGTTGGAATTGAAATTTGAAACCATATAATACTGAGAGAATTTATGTAGTATCAGAAAAAACTACTGGATTTTGGCACATCATGCCAAACCCCTAGCAGTATATTTTCTGAAATAAAAAATTGTTATAACATTCAGAAACCCTAAATTAGGGTTTATCGTAACTAATGAAGATGTTTTAAGAATGTTATTACATGTTAAAATGTAAAATACACAACAGATTCCATTGTCTGAAGTTTCTTAATCTGAAAGTGTTATTCACTCCTAAATTTTCCTGTTAAAACCGAATTTAAACGTTTATTGGCATCGTTATATAAACTTTCTAGTTATGAAAGTAGTGAAACTCCATTTTAATAAATCAAGACATTTCAAGTTCCAATTTTAGACAACTGTTTTGTTGTTTGTTTTTCCTTACCAGGAACAAAAATTAAAAGTCATCTAAAATAGGTGAACTGATTCTTCCAAAAGAGTTGAATTGATTTGAGAAAAATAAAGTCCTATGCTGAAATTAATTTTAATAACCCTGAAGACCCTTGAAAAAAAATACTTCGCAAAGCAATGTATTAATTCTGGAACACATATGATTGTGTACTCTATGCTGATGCCTCAAAACTTGTTTATTTTATGCATGAATGTGTAAACATTACATTTTCAATTTTATTGTGTAACGGCATTTAATGTCACAAGGCTTGTGATTCAGAGTCCCTTGGTTCTATCTCAAACATGTCTGTATCCTCCATCTTGCAGCAGTTCTGTTTTTTGCACCCTGTCAGATGTAACCTTTGTGCTAATTTGGAAAAATCAGTTCTCACGTTTAGTGCTGAGAGACTGATAACTGAATTCTCAAATGAACTACACATTTTCAGAGATGAAGTACAGAGCTGTGGACAATGACTGTGTTTTCCCACAGTGTAAATTCTTCAGACTCAGCTGTCAACATGTGAGTGTGCAGCATAAAAGCAGCTTTAACTTGATGACTTTTTTTTTTCTCCGAGGCCATAAAAATGAAATGGATACTATACTCTCCTTTATGTTATTCCATCTTCTAATGAGATTTTGTTTCTCATGGACAGAGAAAGCCTGTATGCCCTTTAGGGTACTTAGTAGATCAAAGTCTTCTTTCTAAATAGAAAAACAAACATTCTCCCTCCCACACAAATATTTCAGTTTGTGAACAAACCAGATAGCAAAGTTAAGAGGGTTTTTTTTTTTTTTTTTTTTTTTCCTACTAATTTTGCCTCTGCACACATCCTAGGGCTAATAATTTATACTGGATATTCTAGAATATTCCTGTGGGTTTTTGGAGTTCTGCACATGCTCTTCTCTTCATCTCAGCACCTTTTCTTTTCCCCGGTGAGGCATCAAATTTCTCACATGGTCACCCAGGTACCATGAAACTCTGTCTACCCCCGGTGGCAGAGGAACATTTGACTACATGTCTAATCCCCTTTGATTACCACAGTGTTTGTATGCAATCATCAATTATGTTAGCCATCATTAGGATTTAAAATAGTAAAGAAGTGATGTCAAATTTAAAGAAAACTTGGGAGGTCAAGAAATAGGGGAAGCTAAGAGAAGAGACTTTAAAAGAATGGGCTAGTTAATGATAAAAGCTGCAGGAGACATTGTCAAAGTAGAGATTAATAAAAAGTAATAGAAAATCATTAGTGTCCTTTGGAGGAATAATTTCAAGGAAGTAATTATTGGATGAATGCCAGGTTTAAAGTAAAGGTAGTAACATTGAGGAAACAAGTCCTAACCAGGCTATGAACTTAGATATATTGGGACTTTGTGGCATAGCATGACAGAACAGTTTTGCTTGGGATAAGTAAGATTTTAGCTTGGGGGAAGAAATTAGTACTGAAAAAGAGATAAAGATAACAAATAAAATGTAAATTGACTAAATTAATCAAAGAACATCAATGCCATTAAGAGCCAAGGCTGAAGGGTCAAACGAGGAGGAAGGGAGCATTGCTTTGTCACTACTACATGGAAAATTATAGGACAGTCAGAAATGCTGTCACAGGAGGGAAGAGTTGCTGACTGAGGTAATTTGAGGTATGTTTTGTGTTTTGAGTAGTCACTTTGAAGTATAAGATGGATCAGAACAAAGGTTGTCACACAACTCATGGTCTCTTGGAATTTCAATGAGATTTAGAGGTAGACCTGTGATTTTTCTCTAACAACCAATGAAAGACAGAAGGGATGAACTATATTTTGGGGTTCCTGAAATAAGGCAGGAACAACAACTGTGGCAGAAGTTCATAGAATGAGATATTCAGGCGTCTTACTGAGAACATGAATATAAACCATAAGTGTATTTCTTTGTAATGAATTATGTATAACCAGGAAAAATTTCATGCTTCATTCTTATTAATGAGTTATGTACAAGCAGGATACATTTCATGGAGGGATAATTGGAGATTGGGTGGCTTTGTTTTTTAAGATTGGAGGTAGGCATAAATATAGATCATTAAGTAACAATAAAAACAACCATGGTTAATATACTAGGGACTTTTATAAAAATTTAGGTAAATGTGTAAATGACTAACCCCCCCAAAAAAATGAACTCTAGATAGGAGGATATGAACAGATTGCTTAGTTAAAATTTTGAATAAGAGTAGTATTTATTTATTTTGGGTATATACAGCTTGTATATTTTCTGCTATGCCAAAATTATTTTCTGTACTAAAAAGAAAATAGAGAGTAATAGTAATAAATAATAATAAGCATCTACTTGATCAAGTAGTTAAGCCGGTGCCTGAAGTTCAGAAAACTGGGTTTCTGTTCTAAACATTCTTCTACTGGATTAGATAAAATATTGACCTTAAAATCCTAACCTATAAAATGGGAGAGGGGTTTTAGGATGATTAAGATTAAATGTGAATCATATGAAATCATGATTTAAAATACCTTTGAAATTTTGAAAAGACTATTAATATGTTATTCACACTGCAATAACATTCAATTTTTGACATTCACTAGTATATAAGATGATGTTTTCAAGGAAATAATAAGAGACGTAAAGGGAAAAAAAAATACTACCCTGTAAGATTTGTTGTGGTGTCCCCATAAGACAGAATTGGTAAGTCATCTTATCTTTTTCCATTGCCTCCCTTCCGTAGCTCTGATCCAGATCTTTCTTTCCATAGCTAACTACTGAGAAACTTCAACTTTGGCACTAAATGAATCTTTTCCTGAATATTTAATCTCTCTTTTCTTTCTTTGCCGAACTTTCTCACACCCAACATCATGAAGTCACCACCATTAGCTTAACTGCACACTAAATTTCAAATCATATTGCATGTACTGTAAAAGAGTTCTCCAGTAACTTAATACAGTTACATATGTTATATGTCTATTTTCTTTCATAAACCACGTACCATTAAGCCACCTGGAATCATGCTGCTCTGTCCTGATTGGGTGGTGGTGCCCAAGAGTTCGGAAGATAGCAAAGTCTCGCCCCATAAAATCAGCTGCAGTTCCAGAGTATAATTCTCCATCTGTGTTGTGACAAAACCACATACACATTCTTTAACTCAGTTAAGGCAAAAACAAAGCAAAACGAACAAACAAAATGCAAGTTTCATGTTATGAGAATGCTAAGAAGAAAACTGAAATGCTCTCTGCATCATTATGCAGCGTTACTTATTTTTTAATCCTATGTCCTTATTGAAGGAATTATTTTATCAAATATTCACTGATTTAGTATATGACTACTTATCTGGTACAAACTTAGAAAATCTGAATAAAGTCCAATTCAGTGAATCTTGCTAAAACATAAAATTATATTCTTTTCTACTATGACCACTGACAAACTCACAAAATGCAAACTACATTTATTATATCATTTGCTGTTATATGTGTACAGTTACCATGGTTCTAATATCCTTATAACGTAGAGTGAGGTATCATTATAAAATTTTATTCATAGCTTTATTCTAATGGCAATTAAATCTTTTATATACTTCTTTCTCAGTGGGATCTGAATTAATGAGATTTTGCTATGATTTAGAAATGCTGATTTTGTTTGCCAGAATTTTTTTCTTGCTTCTTATTTTTTAATGTATCTAGTGGGAGAAGTGTTTTTATTTGTTATAAGCTATCAACCAGTCCAAAAATAAGTCAACCACATGACCTCATATACAGCAGAAATGTGTTTTAAGAGGAAGGAATTTTGACAAACCCAGATCATAATCACTCCAATGCAAGATTCCATCACTTTTTGACTCATTACTACTTAAATTGAATTAACTCTAGGTCAGAGTTTAATAATGGAGGAATCATAACCAGACGGTAAAGAATAGAAGGGAAAAGACAAGGGAGGGGTAAAAGAGAAGTTAATATTTACTGAATTTCACTCCGTGTTTGTCAGGCAGTTGGCACTGGCTTGACACATTCAAGTTATCTCATTTAGTTCTGTTAACAATCCCATAATGTAAATAATGTTATCCCTATTTTACAGTTCAAGAAACTCAAGGTTGCTCGGCTAATGGCAAGTCAAGGTGAAGGTTCAAACCCAGGCTTGTTTAATCCCAAGCCTTTTATACTTAACCATACCACCTTTCAATAAACTGAAGTTTGTAAAAATCACTCTTTCTTACTTGGAAACAGAAAGGGCCTTGTATTCTCTCTTCCAGAAAACATGTAGTTGCCTTTCTACATACAGTGAATTATTTGAAAACAAAACAACAAAACTTAAATATTTTCCTTCAAATAATCCATGGCAATTACAGTATATCTTAATATTATCTTGTTGATCGAATAGGTTAATGTTTATTTATTGATTTGGGAAATATGCAGATAATAAAGAGGGCAAAGATAAATTATAACTTAAGCATTTGTGTAACATTACCATATGTTCACATACCTAATTCTTACTTGCAAATAAGGGCTTTGCAATGTAAAATTGATATTCATAGTGACCCAAACCAAAGCAATTCCTTTGGTAGAACCTTTGTCTCACTTATATGTCTGAACAGACTTGATTTTGGAGACCCTCCAGAACAGTGGAGAATAGCTACACAGAGAAAATCACTGAGCAACATAAACATGTTATTACTCTAAACATCCATAGATATGAATCTCATCTTGAAAACTGAGTTTAAAAATGTGATCTTTCATTTTGGATTGTTGTGACTGAAGATAAATAAAAATGATGGTTAGATAATTTATTGAGTATAAATTATTAGTAAGTGAATTGTTCTGTCGTGTCATCCTAAATTGTCACAGCATGGTGTCTTTGGGATTCAACAGCACTTTATACTCTCTTCACTTACTTAACTATCAAGTGGAATCTGACTTGTTCTCACTAAAATATGCCTTTTTTTTTTCCAGAAATAGCCCTTTTCTGAAAATGCACAAATGTTATGATAATCTATGTATAAATTTCAAAGCCACTTTGAAATACATAAATGCCTGTTGTCTCCTTAATATTAACCAATATTCAAGCACCACAACATTTTTATTAAGGGTAATATCTAAACTTTTCCCAAAATATTAGCAAATAGATGATGTATTTTTAAACATCCGGTGAATAATTTGTTATTGGTCTGAGTGAATAAGAGGGTCTCAGTTAAAAGTGTATTGTCAAAACATCATAAAATGGTCATGCAAATTTCAAACATTTTCATGATGGAACACCTATGAGAAGATAGCTTGTGTCTTCTTTTCTTAAAAAAAAATTTAAAAAATTAAATTACTGGTTGAACCTCTTTGCCTCTAAACCACACTTAAAAAACTAAAAGTAGAATAATTAAAAAAATGAAAACTGAACAATTTAATATCAGAATTTAGTCAAACCATGCCAACAGGAGGTTTAATAGGAAATATTAGAGTAAATAATGTAATCAATCAATCATTCTTGTCATTTAGCTTGCTTTAGGGTAAGAAAATCCATACTTATGATGTTTATTATATTTAAAGTCTATTCAAGAAGCAGTTGAAATAGTAAAATCAACAACTAAAACCTGTTACTTGGATAGAAAAGGTGTTTATCTCTCTCTTGCATTTGGTTGTTTTATAACATTTTTTTATCCACCCTCATATTAGAAAGACAAAAATCAATGCAAAGCAATGTAAAGGCAGAAATAATATTTTCTTTCTGTTTTCACAAAAGTTGAGAAGGTCCTTCAGAGAAAGCAGAAGAGGTATGCAGTAAACGAGCTACTCCGTTTAAGACTAAAAGAGAATTGGCCGGGCGCGGTGGCTCAAGCCTGTAATCCCAGCACTTTGGGAGGCCGAGACGGGCGGATCACGAGGTCAGGAGATCGAGACCATCCTGGCTAACACGGTGAAACCCCGTCTCTACTAAAAAATACAAAAAAAAAACTAGCCGGGCGCGGTGGCGGGCGCCTGTAGTCCCAGCTACTCCGGAGGCTGAGGCAGGAGAATGGCGTGAACCCGGGAGGCGGAGCTTGCAGTGAGCTGAGATCCGGCCACTGCACTCTAGCCTGGGCGGCAGAGCGAGACTCCGTCTCAAAAAAAAAAAAAAAAAAGACTAAAAGAGAATTAAACAAGCGACTTATAAACGAAAATAAGTATGCAGTTTAGGCACCAGTTCCTCCAGCTACAGGAAATTACCTCCCACATGAATATGATTTTTGGCAAGAGTTAGATGATTTTATTGAACTGGAGGGTACCAGATGATTAAGTGGCCATGAAGGGCACATTCCCATCTTGTCCATGCTTAATGTCAGTGACTGTTTAGTTGCACCAGGGCTTAGATCACATTTCCTGGTGAGAATTCTATGGGGAGTCTTATCAATGATGATTGCTCTAGATAAGGTATGACATCTTTGTTGTTTTGCCCAAAAACATAGGCAGTAGTATATTCTATCTTCTCTTATTTCTCATTAAGAAGAAATGTAATATCAAACCAGAGTATATGCCATTTAATAAACTTGAACATTTACATTCTGTGGCTTTCTGAAATAAACTAAAGGTATCTGATGACTATAAGAAATTTACAATACCTCAGTTGACTTATTTTGGAGAATGGACATATTTTTTTTTAAATGTTTACTCAGCAAACTTCTTTTGTGGTTTCTAGGTCACTTATGAAGTTATCAAATTATATGTTGATTCTTAAGAATAGTGTTAATTTGACAATTTTCTGATCCTAATATATGTCTTATTGAGAATCTGAAGTAGTGTATTAATTGTTACTCTGCAATAATTCAAATGGCGTTATGATTGAGGTACCTACTTTAGGGCTGTTCACATATACTAAGCCAATTGTGAAAGAAATAAACATTTGTCCAATTTTATTAAATTGATGGTAGAATCATATATCTAGAAATTATTATCTACATTAAAAGGTGGTTGTGAATACTATACCCTACAAGATCTTTAAGCCTCTAGAAAAAAGTACCACACGGGCAGTTTAACATTTCAAAAAAAATATATTGAACTAAGACAAATTAGTGCTGACAGATGTAAACTATCATCCAGAAACTGTCAAATACAAAAGCTGCTATTTGAGTATATGACCATTCTTTCTTAACTGGAAGCTTTCTTAACTGTCTCACAGGAGAGCATACTGTACTGAGATGAACAAAAACAGTTTTGTGAACTGCATTTCTATTATGGCTTAGTTGCCTGAGAAGTATGTATTAAAAACAAAAGTTCATATATACTCTAGACTTTCTGTTCAAAACTCAAAATGAAGTAAAAATGTGGCTTAGATCAGTGAATGTATTGGATTACAATTCCTAAGCAGGGTGTGGTGAGGAGAAACAGAAGGTGGAAACAAAACCACATTTCCTGATGAAATTGCAGCATTACTAACACAGGTGAAAAGTGTGACATGGATGTGAGCAAAATATCAAACAAACTTAAACACCAAGCCATTATGTTGTTAACACCTTAAGTAAATTCCACTCACAGAGCAGCAAAGAAATTAGAAACAGAAGGGAAAAAAAGAAAGAAAGAAAATACCCCCTCTATCTCACACACACACATGCACACACACACACAGCATGGATGAAATCCATGGATGTAAGAAAAATTTTTCACTATTACATTTATTGAGCACCTTCTCTATATCAATAAATATAATATGTTGGCTTCATTACTCATGTTGTTCTTTTAAAATTAAAATTTTTCAACAGTTTATATGTCTACATGGTATAAAATTGAAAATGTAAAATTTATAAGGTACCAAATCTCCCTCCCAGCCTTTCTACAGGCAACCACTGCTACAAGTTTGCTTATTTTATCTTTGCTTATATTCCGGAATTACACAAGCACCAAAAATGGTAGTATGCTGTTATGTTGTTTTATTTCTCACAACAAACTAGTGAAAGCAAAACTGCCATGCCATTTCATGTACAAGGAAACTGAGCTCAGAGAGCTTAAAATAATTTTCTCAATTGTATGCAATTAACTTAGAGAGTTCCTTATTTGCTCTAATATCAAGTGAGTGCATTTTGTAATGTCAAATTATGCTCTTTCCTGAGACAAGACAGCATTTTGACTTCAGGATATAACCTTAGCTAAAAGTCTCAGGACTTTGAAATAGGACTCAGTAATACCTCTTAGGGATGGAATATTTCTAAATTACTAGTGCTGCATTGCCTGGAAAAGATTTTAATGAAAAAATAAAATTGCTCTCAAGTTGACTATTCTTTCACATCATGAAAATGTGAGACAGTACTTAATTAGTGTTGGAAAATACTGAGATTTATCCTTGTGCTATGTTCACACCTGGCATTTATTATTAGCAGGTGAGTAATTGCTATCTGTAATAAAATATTTTTTTAAAAACAAATTCATAAAAAAACATTTGCAGGTGGATGAAATAAGAAAGGGTAAAAAATATAAGGTCATGCACTGTGGCTCACACCTGTAATCTCAACACTTTGGGAGGCCAAGGTGGGTGGATCACCTGAGGTCAGGAGTTCGAGACCAGCCTGATCAACATGGTGAAACCTTGTCTTTCCTAAAAATATAAAAATTAGCCAGGCCTGGTAGCACATGCCTGTAGTCTCAGCTACTCAGGAGGCTGAGGCAAGAGAATTGCTTGAATCTGGGAGGCAGAGGTTGCAGTTAGCTGAGGTCATGCCACTGCACTCCAGCCTGGGCAACAGAACAAGAAAAATAAAGACTACAGCAACTTCATCTTGACAAAATTATCACTTTTAAAGGAGATTGCAAAATTAACTTTACCATGTTGGTTTGAAAAACTTAGGACATGTTCTTGGATTTGGGGACTTAATTCGGTAACTTTGCATTACTCAGGAGATAATCCAAATTCTCAACAGTCCTCAGCTTAAAAACCCATGCCTTTTTGGAGAGAAGTCATACTAAACCTTGCTAGTTTTGGAAACTAAAAATTTTAAGCTGTCGTCTCATTTTAAAGTTTACTACTGTTTGAAACTACTTCTTTCCTAGTGGGATTGATGGTATAAAAAATATTTGCTGCCAAGATCCATCTAACCAGTTTACAGATGGTTTGAGCCCAGGCTGAAATTTTATTTCCCAGTATTGGGGAAGGAAGCAGCCTGGAACCACCTTGAAATGCCTATCTTATTTATAAAATGAGGAAGATATCCAAAAACTTTTGGGAAGATAGGTTTTCCCAACGGCCATTTTCTGATATACAAAGTACAACCTGTTTATTTCTGAGACAGCTGTTACCCTTGTATGTAAAAGAGTTTGGGAAGTGCCGTAGAAAATATTTATGTTAAAAATCTCCATTAAACTAGTGAGCATTCTTTTTAGAGAAGTATGAGAGAAAATGCCAAGGAAAACCCAACAAGGGGAATTAAATGTACCATAAGAGGAAAAATTTATAGCACAGTTATAAAGAAAGCAAATAACTTCAACACAGAGAGTTACAGCTGTTGAATTAAAATGGTGTTTCAGGTATGAAGGATTTTACCAGGTATAATACGGCCTGTTTCTTTTTCTGTATCTTGCTATCAATGAATTCAGAAGTTAATTTATTTGGTCTTGTCAATAAGCACTACATGCCTCTGAAAGTTACTAAACCATTTTACCATATTAGATAGGTTAGGTCTGCACTTCCATCTGAAAGTTCTTTTTCTGAAACACCTATTGTTCTTTCTGGCCATATCCTCTTCTTGACCTTCTGAACTTCACTCATTCTCTTTGCCTTTTCATAAACCTATATGGCTTTTTCAAAGATATTCAAATATAAAACTAGAACTGTGGAGTTTCATTTTCTTTGTGGACTTTGGGTGGTTGCATACCATATGAACTATGTAATACCTACTTGTCATCATTCTTTCTCAGCGGAATATTAAAATAAATAATCAAGCAAGTCCCTACTGAGAAACACAGCACAAATTAAAGCTGCTTTGGGCACACTTCAGCACACTGCTTTTTAAGGAATATCTATCCTTTTTTCAGTGTGCAATTTAAATAAGTATAGGCTGTATGTTCATACAAAATATGACTCCTACCCTTTGTTTAAAAGAACGTTCAAATTTCAGCATGTATTTTTGAGGAAGTCATCCACAAATAATCACTAGGCCATCCGTAAATAGGAAAATTGTTAAGTGTGCTAGGTATGCTGCATTCCTTCAGGTCTTAAACTTTTGTTAAAATGCTGCATAAATGCATGAAATGGACTAAAAGTGTCCCCATTTGAAAAGCAACAGAGGAGATAATTCATGCCACAATGGATTTCTTCTTAATAGAATAAGGATCAGTGAAACATGGTGATAAAAGAAAACACTAGAGAATACAGAAAAAATATATATATCTTCATGGTTAATATGGCAGTCAATATGACTAGAGTTTATTTTTCTGAGTAGAAAAAAAAAGAAGAGAAACATGGAAAACTTTATAAACTTATGACACATCAGATTACTTAAATTTAATTTTTTAATCAAGATTTATTATTTAAAATTTAATTAGAAATTTTAGATTTGAAAAGTTTCATTATTATTTTGTTTTGCTATTAAATAATTCTTTTGCATATTTTACAGAAAAGGGAAACAAAAAGGTACATAATTTCTACACAATTATGTAGAAAAATACATTCAAGAACAGAATCATGACCCAGAATTTTTTTATGTTTTAGGTTGTTGGTATGCTCAAAATTTCCAAAATAAAAAAGAAAGAAAAAAATGATAAAAGAAAGAGAAAACAAAAATTTTAAAAATTACTTCATGATTTGCCACTTTTTGTTTGTGTATTTAGTTAACTCCAGTACAGAGGTAGTTAAAAGAGTCTGGAAAAAATTCTTTGTTTTTCAGTACAGACTAAAGTTTTATCTTATTTGTATCTACGTCTATTATTTTGAACTATAAGCATTCCCCACTTATAAGCAATGCTAAATGAAAAGAGGAGAAAACTAGAAAAGAAGGTGGTTACAGAAAAGGATAGAGGAAGTCACATCAAATATTTTGTTAGATTTTCCAAAAAGAAGAGCTAATTTTAATAAAGATGAATACAGAATGTATCTTCCCTTAGCCAGTATGTGTAATATGATATTAGGATGAGCCAGCATAAGGTAACACAATGGGTCTTTGCCAACTGTACCAAGTGGGGATGAACAGTAATTGAGCCATTTGAAGATCCTATTCCATTTCAATTAAAAGAATCAGAATAGTTGGTGCAATAATGAAAATACCATTTAGTGTTTCTTCTTCATTTTCAAACATTTCAATATATCACAACTAATTGCCTTGTAAAACAATTATCATTTCAATAATGGAAAATCTTGGTAGGTAAAAAAGAACATGGAAACTGTTATCTGTAGAAAACTCACTGTTTGATTGTTGACTACGCACCTATTAAAAGAGATGCTGTCAGCAGCTTAGGGTCATATGGACTCTTCCCACGGCCGTTTTCAAAATGTGAGTTCTCCAGCTTAAAAATATTGTCCTGTAGATTTTAAAAAAAAAGAGAAAAGGGTTTCCTTTATATATAAAAGGGAGTGTTTTCAACATATCAGTTAATCAAAGAGATGTCAAGTATTCATGTCCAACACAAGAGTTATTTTTATTTGTTCAAATTTCTAAGATGGCAAAAAAAATCAAGTGTATTGAAAGTAGGTAATGCAAGCCAAATATCTACTTAGCTTAATGATATTTAGTAGCAATTAGCACGTTACAAGTAATAATGTGTAAATGAACGATAAAGAACAGGATGTGTCATGATAAGAGGAGAGTGATTATTTTATCACACAGGTATGTTAAGATCTATCATAATGGCTTTTGAGGAAAGAATGTTAAACTTAAATAAAATGACTCATTTCCTTCCTTTGTAGAAGAGAAAAATAGCAATTCACTACGCTAGTTGTCTAGAATAAATTACACAATCTTGTCTGTATGTACTTTCCGGAATACATGCTAAATAGCCATCAAATTTATTTTCCCCACTATGTCCTTTGTACATCTTTGGTGGCTACATGCTTCTTGTGTATTTTTAAGTTACATCAGCAGCAGGTGAAGTGCCTGAAATGCCTCATTCACTTCTCTAAGAGGGAAATATCCCAGGTTAGGAGAGCAGCGTGCCTGGAGGTGCTGTCATTGGAATAACAAGCGCGTTATTACCACGGGAAAGCCTGCTCTGTTGGGTCCCTAAGTACTCAGAAACAGGAATAAACTTTTGGCTACATATAAAAAATATACACATGTCTCAAGGTAGAATATGTGCAGGAAAGCGTGACATCAAAAATCTTGATAAGGAGATAACTAATTCATGCTTGAGACCCTGTTGTCAGAATGTGTCTACCTACTGCAATCTATTTGTGACAGTGGAGTAAATCTGGGGACATTTCTGAGCATTCTTTTAAGAACCAAGTGCCCTGGGAATTAATTAGATAAGAATATGTATGCTTTTTCCAGTAGCACATTAAGTTATCCACAGACTGAAATAAAATAGCTTTTTATTTTTTGGCAATTTCTCTACTATTCACATAAAAGTATTTTCTACCATCTTGGGAGAGTAAATGATGTCCATTTTATGATCAATAAGGATCGTTTTATTTAACATTTAATATTTCTGATGGAACTAATGGCAGGGTTTCAAATTATTACTCCTAAAACTAATTTGAATTAAGGACGAAAGTTAAAAAAGGAAGAAATTCCAAGTGTTCTGTTTTTATTACCGTGAATGAGAATTACTAATTCTATTCTTCTTTCTTTGCATTTATTCTGTATTTGGCAATTAGCTGTCCCGTACTAATGATATTTCTTTAGCTTAGTTCTAAAATCTCTACTGTGAAATAATTTATGGGCTTTCACAGAATTGTGCTAAGTTACAGTGGAAAACGCAATGAGCCAGGCACCAGACTTAGCTCTGGTTTTCTGGTCACCGTTTCATATCTCTGAGCCTCTAGTCCTAAAATGTCAGCGCAGATAAGGATATTTAACATCACAAGTTAATTGGGAGGGTTATATAATTTATTTGAACCATTTTAAAAGCAGCAAAATTTTTAAAATGCTTTTCATTTCTATTCTATTAATAATGTTAATATTACCAGTACAACAAAATAATATGAAAATTAACACAGGTTGTTGCCATTATTTTCAACTTTCCTAACATAATATGAAAGAAATATTACATTAAGACATTTATATAAATCACTAAATTCCAAACATTTTCACAAATACAAATTTATCGTAGGCATTTAAATATTAAAATTATATGAAACAACATATTCTATTCAAAAACTTAGAAGAATCATTAAAGAAATACCCAGATATATGTGTGTTTTGATTAAAAATTAGGAAATAGTAAAAAGGAAACATAATAAAAGACATATACCCTATTGTCACAGTTCATACAAAATATTAAAATGTGTATATGTGACTATATATTACAGATTAAAAGAAGCAGCACAACGAAGTGGTAGTGTGGTAGAAATTATTGCTATAAATATTATCTTTTCTTGTACTCGAGAAGATATTTTACACTACTGATACAGACAGAGGTGCTATCTCCTCAAAGCATAAGATACTTTATGTCTGGGATCATATGTCCAAGTTAATCAGACAATGCCAAGGTAGATGAGAAGTACTTCCAATTTCATGCAGTATTTGATTTACAAGGTAAAGGATTAGACCTCATAGGAAGAGAGGTTAAGCGTGTCAGTTATGGTTCAAGAGAAGATGAAAAACTATCCTTCGTCATGGTGTCAGGTAATCAAAGCTGGCATCCCTTTCCTTTCCTCCTTTTTGTTCAACCCCATAAATAAATACTAAGTTAGTCACCTCTTTTACTGATACATAATATGTTTCCTTTTAATATAACTCCTACCCAAATTTCTGGGAATCTACCCTGTAAATCTTCTATATTCTTACGTGATTCCATAGAGAATCAAAATAAATTGAATTTCCTTTCCAGTCTAGTGAGATGAGGATCTGAAATAAATATAATTTGATTTTTGGATAGGGAGATAAAATGACATTTCTTACACATGTTTGTAGTGTAAAATTCATGCCCATTACATGTAATAATGGACTTTAAGGATGTTGAAATCGGGCAGAACTGGGTGTTATCTCTGGCTATGCCTTTTATTAGCTCTGTGCCTCAGGCAAGTTCCTACACCCTTCTGAAACTCAGACTCCTGTAATAAGCAGATACGAAAATCCCATAGTTGAAGTGAAGAGTTCTTGTAATAATGTCTACAAAATATTTAGTATGCCCTTGAAACAGATTTATTAATTTCCCTTAACCATTGGTTATAGTCGTTACAGTAAACTTATTCTGTTCTACTATGATTGAAATATCTTATGTCACAGTGGAAATGCCAGTCTATATTTTTATCAGTCTTAATTATAAGGCGTGTTTGAAATATACGTAAATATTTCGACCTTTCACAATGCATTGAAAATTCTTCTTTCTTATAGGTAGATGAGAAGCTAATTGAAAACATTTCATGAAAAAATAATTTAAATTAGAAAAAGTACATTATTTTTCTAATATGTGACATTCTTTCAAAAGGAATATAACTGCCAATTCATTAAAATATTTTCTTGAGAATCTCTAAAATTTACAACATTATTACATAGAATGCGTGTGAAAATCATCAATTAAAACAGTGTCCTCTTTAATATATCTGACAAATTTAATGTCATTGATATAAAGAGACACTATATTGCTGTTTCTGTTATCTAATGAGCAAGACCTTAATTTAGATGTGTGAAGGTATTGAATTATCATGAAAGAACAGTGCTAATATAATTGCATATTAACACCGTTTGTTATCATATGAAAAATATCACAGAGACCACTATCTAGCTTTACTTGGAAGGACTTTCAAAATCTGATTGCTACCCAGTGGATTTCTGTTTTGGAAGAGTGTAAAATAGATCACATATGCAAGTAATAAGACTGAAAATCCTAAGACCAATGTTTACAATTAAACTGTATAGCTTATATGTCTTACTTGGGCTGAAAGAGTTTTCACTGTAGAAATACATGAATAAAACTTTAGCTACACGGATTCTAATTGCTTTAGCAGATGCTATGAGCATATCATATAAGGTTTTGTGCTATATTTTATTACATGATTGCATCAGTTTTCAACGACTGTTTTTAGCTTTCAAGACCACTCTCTCCCCTTTGTCTTTTGGATTTCCTGAATGTTATTAGACTGTGGTGAGGTAAGGCATTAGAGGAAATAATAACTGTGCTAATGTCTAATCCAAAGTCTTATAAATTATAAACCATTGGTGACTTCATGGCAATAAATTTCCTAAATCTCAATCTTGTCCAAGTCATAAATTTAGGTAACAAAGTTGTAATTTTAGTTGTTTTATTTAATGATTAAAACATAAACGATGTTTGTAAAAGAAAAAGAAAGGAAAGGAAAAGAAAGGAAACCTTTATATATGTGATAGGATAAATATTTTAGGTGGGAAATTGCATAAAATTATGTGAAAACTAATAGTTGGACAGTATTGAAAGAATGCATATTATCATTTTTTTTTCAAATTGTATTTCCTGCCTTTCTGTTTCTCATAAAAGACACTTTCTATGCCAGTTATACTAAATTATTGAATATTCCCCTGGTCATGCCATCCTTTTCTCATCTCTGCCTGAGATCCCTTCATTCTGCTCTTACTCATCCTCAGCCCCCAACCTGAGGGTGACCTTCTTTTCCTTTGAGATTAAATTCAAAAGTCACTTCCTGGAAGTCTTCAGAGATTCCTGCTGATATAATTGGTTAGTCTTCCTTTCCACATACTTGAATTAACAATAGTATACAGGCAATAGCTATATAGGGTGAAACTACTGGCTTCAGCAAATAAAGAGTGTAATAAGATCTCAGAGGAAATATTGTGACATATTGCACTTTGACCAAAAGAGATCCTTCTGCAGATCAAATTTATCCATAATTTGCTTTTCCTTAAAAGGCAACTTTAGATATACACTGTGCAATATTACAGTCACACGTTGCTTGTGGTTATTTAACTTTAATCAAAAAGAAAAATTCCATTCTCCAGCTTCATGAGTCACATTTCAAGATGTCAATAGTCACATGCAGCTAGTGGCTTCTATAATGGATAAAGGCAAATACAGAACATTTCCATTGAACAACACGTGTCCAAATCCTGAATCCTATGCCCTTAACAGCACACAATAGAGAGTCCACAGTCAGAGGACCTCCAGGAAGAGAAATTTTGACATCAGATCACAATCATAGTAGAAAAAGTCCATGAGATCTACAAGGAGGGATCACACTGAAAACATCAGTTTAGTTTTTGGGTTGTTTTTTTAGGCCAGGAGTTATGCCAAGTCATATTTAATGGTAGTACAGATGAACAAATACTCACTCTATTTATCCTGTATGTCATTCTTCATGAACTTGGAGTCACTTTTCCCTAATATAAGCAGGTACAAATTTTACCTATTATGTAAAGATTAGGCCATGA